AGAATGACAGATTTTAATTATTAGCAAGAAAGGACGCACACATCAATAAAGACCTGTTGAAATAGTGGTTAAATCTGCGTTTTCTGCTCCTGGACTACGCCCTGTGATTTCTTTCCTAAGTCGAGTCGCGAAAGTTGAGGTTTGAACACAAACCCACCCTGACTGCTATGTCAAATATAACATGATTTTAGTATAAAATGCATATTTATCAGCAGTTTGATTGCAAATATATTATACATTGATCTGACAGTGTAGGCATATAAGGGTATTATTCAGTCCTCACTTCCACACCTGCATAATAAGGAGCAATGTGGAGGTTTGAGACCGTATTGAAAAATAACCAATTTCCGCTTGTATAAGGACTGACGTGTGGAGATTGGCCCATCGGAATCAACTGCAATGGCCATCGAGGATGCCCTCTCGGTAAGGCTTTCACGTCGAAGATTTCGCTCTGCAAGAGAAGTTTGACAATGGACGAATTTTCTTCCAGTTCGTTGAGGATCATACTTATTTTTAATGATATAGCTTGCGACTCAGTGGTTAGCAAAATTGAACAATCGGACGATACTGTTAAGATCGGGAAAGTGGCTAAGAAGGCTGGGAAAAGGACATTAAAATCGACTGGATATTGCGAATCAGCGGAGGTCGACAGTCGACATCTTGTCGTTTGTATTCGCCTCCAAACAAATAGTTTTGCCGCTTCCCAATAGCTGACCTTTTTCTGTCCACGAAGGGTGTAAAAGTTAGTTCGGTCCCACATACATCCCTGTGATAAATACCCAAGCACAAATATCATCACAGACCACAGTTGGGTACAACATAGTAACAACACGCAAACTATTGCTGTAACTGATAGTCAGTAACTGATAGTTGACGACCGTCTGGGTGAACAACTTCAAAGGCCGGGGCTACGTCGCATGTCATATCAGCTAGTCAAGTCAGAAGTTGTCCACACGAACGGGTATTATAATTTTAAAGAGCTTTTAGGACTGTATGTGTCTGCTATGCCATGATTTAGCAAGCCATAGCCCTCGGCGTCTGGTGTGCATTGGCAGTTCTCGAGCACCTGGTTCCCTGCCGGTAGATGAGTTTGCACTTTCGTTGGGTATACAGGCCGCGTGCCTGGTTACATACCGACTTGTGTCATTCTCTCTCTGACCCATTTTTATTGTTGGTTAAAATCCTAGTCAACTGTTTATTGTGGACCAGGGGTAGGGCCGTACGCCTAACTGCGAGTCTGTCCGTGCCAGCCACCACCCCTCTCTCCCGCCCCACTTTCTCCTTGACTATATCTTGACACCGGGCCCATTTGGGGGAGAAGAGGGTGCGACACATGCTGCGGAGATCCGCCATCACTATAAACTAATCCCCGCGCAAGTCGCCGAGCCTGCTCTTACGTTAATGTAGAGCACACGGTGGACATCGTCGGATGCGACGGTCGGACTGTCACAAGTATGAAGAGCTTATTCCATGCCTGCCCTGGTCCTCGTTGCTCCATCAATGATTTGAGCATTGGCAACACCGGTAACTCACACAGAAGCGTCTAACACTATGGATGACATTTATAAAAAACAAAGATTGGCTGCACGAAGAACTGCCTTTCCTGGCACAGTTTGCCTCTTAACATACCTTGCTTTTTTGTGACTGTTCTCACACAGAATTATATGGTCCATTGTTAGGAGGCTTCCATGTTCATATTGGGCTGACAAGATTGTTGTCCTAAAAATAAATTTTTCACCCACTCGCGTATGGGCATGATTACTGCCAATGCCACAGCCTTGAAACTTAATGGCAGGCAAGCCCCTTGTGCTATAGCTTTTCAGATACGTAGGCAAAAATACTTACCGCTTCAGGAATCCCCATCCATTCACAATATATTCATAGAAGAAGAGGGAGGGGAATAAAAACGGAAGAACTGAAGCGAAGTCTGCATGCTACTAGTATAGGCACTAACCTTTTAGGAGGCATCACAGTTTGGTACGATGATCTGATAAAAAGCTACTTTTCGGAGCATGAAACTAAGGTGTCCGTTTCAAAATGAACATCGCGTCCGCAGGATGGCGTCAAGGCTGAATTTATACTTTTTGTCGAATAATATAAAACTAGTGGTCTGTGCCATGCAAGTGTGCTCTTTTCTTTCCACTACTGTAGTGCATTTTCCATTGCCTAATTGCCAAACTGATCTTCACTTACTGTGACTTACTAAGCACTGAGCTAAATGCCGCATTTGCAAAAGATGCAAATACGTGCATTGGAGGCAGTAGCTTGGACGTTGACAAGATTACCGGAAGACTACTTCTATTTGCCTGGGGTTGCGGACTGACACAGATGAAAAATTGGAAGGCAAGTACGTTCTTTGAGAAAAGCAGAAAATTTTACTGAGTAAATTTTCGACGTCGGTTCCCCGTGTCGTCGTCAGACTCGAGTAAATATACTGAAACGGGAATGTATTTTTACATAATCTAGTCTCCAACTGCAGATGATAGCATATGGCTCGACAACCATTTGGTTAGCCACGTTCAAACAATACACTTCTGAGAATTAATCGAGATGTTTAGGAAAAACTTCTCAATTGGAGCTTGTTAACGAACCTCTCTAACCTATGTAATTTTAAAATAGAGTTGCACCGGGGAGTTATGCATACTGCTTGAAGATTGTTGTCCTAAGCCTGGTGTACTAGTCGATAGACGCGCCAGTGAACGAAGATCTCAATGCTCTTCCGTTTAAACCTCCGTCCGCCTCTCATTATATGATTGCGCGCCCACTTCCCGTCAAGCGAATAAAACTACCGTTCTGATTACCGAATCTCCTTCCGCCAGACTGTCCAACACATCCGAAACCCATCAAGAAAGAGCCTGAAATGAGTGTCATGATAAATGATCTTGAACTGAATCCTGGCCTTCTTTCTACAGACTTGTCCGGTTTTAGATCCGTAACACTTTAACTTGCATAAACTACTGTCAAATACCGAGACGGAATAGTCGTTTACCCATCATCTAGCTGCTTTGAAAGTCATTTGACTGAATAACTTTCTGTCATTGCGCAGAATTTTTACAAAATGCCCTAGTTAAAGAAGACGGGAAAATTTTAAACTTCACTTTTTCGCTGGTTTACCCACCTTCAGTTCTTCCTCGGCTGTACTTTTGGGCTTTAAAGTGGAACCCTTTGTAAATCTGGATGTTGATTTCAAACCCCTTCTAACATCTCCACCGTTCCTCCGACTGAGCGCAGTTCACGTTTCGGCCTCTTTTGTATCAAAATAATCGAATTGCTTATAATTACTGACTTCGAAGGGCCATTTTGGTGCCGCATATTAGCATGTAACCAGAGACTTGACTTAGTCCGAAAGGTTAAACAGTAGCAGAACGGAAGGGAATGTGAGCAGTGATAAAATTAGGTGTAGGAGCGAATGCACGGATGCGAAGCGTCAGCAGTTCAAACACAATTCGCAACAAAGGTTTGCCAACTCTTGAAGATTTTCCGTTAGGTCGCGTACAGGAATGACTTAGACCAAAAGCTGACAGATGTTTTAAAAAAAGTTCAAGTAACTAGCGACAGACAAGTAGCAGGCGAATGATAAATACTAGCTGAACGTGGCTGCACTTTTAGCAAGGTTGCGAGCATTTGCCGCGTCAAAGTAAAAAGTTCCCGATTCCTCAAGTGAAGATAACCACTTTGTTAATCAGAGTTGCTTTAGATTAACTTCAAAAAGTCAAATATATCCGGAGAATAGGTGCACGGTTTCCTTCAATCCCTTCATTTGAGAGAAGTAAAGTAAGGCGAATATGGAGATAGGTGACTTGGAAGTGGAAGAGAGCGTGAAACTGGAAAAGGAACGGCTACAGTAACTCCGCATCTTGTTACCCGTGAGTGTACGATTCGGCCGAGTGATAATTGACGCCCATTCTTATTTAAAGAGACATAAGGAGAAAGAGGACTTGAGTAATGAGCAAGTGAAACTGGAATGAAACGATAGGAGTTTAAGTTGGGTAACTAATCAAACAGACCATCGGGAGACTCAGAACAACGTGATCGCATTAGAGGGCATCATTTTGTCAGTTTATTGTTGGCCGACCGCTGCTCTGTAGAGGGCCGATTAAACAACAAGAACCATAATATGTCCATCCAAACGTTTTAGCCAGTATCGTCTACAAAGACAAGCCCCCGACGTCTTACCTACATGACTATCAAGTATTTGCGCATAGTAGGTTTGCCTTGTCGTCAAACAGTACAGCAACCCAAACTGTAATAATTTCATTTCGGAAACAAGAAGAGTGGATGGGTGAGTGATTTCCACAGTTAGTCTACACGAGTGCAGCGGCCCCGAGACAGAACAAACGCCCGAATTTTGACTAATAGCTTGGCCTCACCTCTCATTAAACGTTTTCTTTAGTCCCTGCTATACTGACATTGTGCTATTTTACGCTCACCCGACTTGAAAACTTTAGTCTTTTGTCACCAATAAAATCAGATCTGTAATCCACGTTTTTGTGCTTTTCATAATTTATTTACACTCTTGAATGGAAAATAAACGCAGTTTCTAACGATTCCTAGCCGCGATTAAAAATGTAATAGATCTGGTGATTACATGCACTCCTCTCTTTCTGTCATTCTTATTGTCAATGCCTGAACATTCGTAAGCTGTTGAGGGAGGGTCAGTATTCGAAATAAGTGTATAACATCATCCTTCGATCTAAAAAGGTTAAATCAAGTAGTAGCTTATTACATGTAAAAATTCAAAAGTAAAGGTGATTAAGAAAGGGTGCCCCAACCGCTACTGCGAGAATAGTTTGACCCCTTTTTGATTGCGCAAAGGGATATGCGTCGGAATTCTTATGGCTGTGATTTCTCACAATCAAATCAGCCAAAGGGAGGTAAGTTGTATGTGTGTGTAAATATGCGTTTGTAGTTCTGTCTAGAGTCTGAAATCTCAAGGTAAGTTGTTGTTTGTGCATCATCCTGATCAGCGATGGAGTGACGGAAGACTGAAGACGTGTGCCTCAGCCACATTGACAGCTACACTCCGGCTGAAGTGTATACTCATCCCGACTCCATTCGCAGTAATAGCCCCGGAAGCTGCGACTCAGCTTCCGAACCAGCCGCTTCACCCGTTTCGATCTCTGCTCCTCAAGGGTGAACTGCCGATTGGATCCCTGTCGCGGGGGAGTCAGCATACGCAAGTCCGTTGTCAGTGGACGGGCTTGTCGGAAGGGCAAGTATGCAGTTCCGGCACTTCCGTAAAGTGACCGCCTTGAGCGAGAACGCTGATGCATTTGTTTTCCACGCGCTCGTCTTCTGACCTCCTTTTCCGGCCTTTTTCTGCAGTACTGATAAGCGAAAGCAGACAGAAAAAAAATCCAGTCATTTACCAGTAGTGCTCTAATGTGCAACAGGCATAACGCTACCAAGATGAACAGCTCGATCCTATCCAGCTTCTCGATCTAAAAATTACTTATGCTTCCTAAACTAAGGACGTTAGACTAGGAGATCAACTTTCTCCCGAGACCTGCTAATCCAAAACTATAATCTAAGAAATCGTTGCAAAATATCATAAATTCACATCTCTAAAAGCGCATCACTAGGAGGCATTGTTACCAGACTTCCTCTGACTGTCTCGTATTTTAACATACGCTTTAATGCGCGCGACATGAAGCAGGATCTGATAACCGAGCAGACGTAAAACAATAGCGTCTGACTTTGAGGTCGTGAGTTCGAATCTCCAAGCGAAGGAGTAAACCCAGTGCCCGAGTGTTACTGATAATCTATATGAACGATGGAATAGCCTTGCGAGCCTGCCCTCTTTACATGAAAGTATTCCACTTTGACAAGGAAATTATTCATACATAAAGAATTTGCCACGTAAAGAACATACCGGTATTGGTTTAACTCCGCAAGGATTTCGTAGCACCACTAAAGGCGCACATAGTCTCATCTTACCTGATCCAAAGCAATGACTCCTGTCAGATGCGGCAAGAAGTTTTTCCGCTTAAATACCCCCCTCAAATATCTTTACGAATGTACCTGTACTTGCAGACGCAAGCAAATTAGGCTCAGTCAAAGCCAGATGGTAGCGTCATTAGTTGAATTCATGGCGTAATGATACTTGAACGTTTGAATCAACCCTTCTAAAAGGCAACTATACAACATTTGCCGGACACAGTACACAACACCCACCAGACTGGCGCTTGGGGTCTGATGTAGATAAGACCCACAGCCTAAAGTACCCAAAGACAGCGAACATACGGCTGATGGAAGTTGGGATTCGTAAGATATCTCAGCATACAGGTTATTTTTTCATTAGAATAATGATGACGCTATGTTAATGTCAAGTCGTAATGTCGTTCAATGAACCGGCCAGATCAGTAAATGGAGTGTGGACTTCAATGTAGTCCTCGACAAGCCCATATCGAAGAGCAACAAACAGAACATTTTTTTGTCGACAGCAAGTGGGCCACGAGTAGTCACTTCTGTTCTCATCAGCCAAGCATAGCCAACACTGAGTAAAACTATGATTCTATGGCAGTACGTCGAACCGTAAACAACCCTTATCCGCTGCTGACGTCCCATTGTCCCACCCACAACGACGGGAAAACACCAAATGGCCATTCTAGTCTCTCTTGCGTAGGGCAGAATGTGTCTAGTTCAATAGGTGTTTTAGCTGACTTTAACAGACTTTTTGATCGTGAAAAACCGGCGGCCTCGTCAGGATTCGAACCCGCGACAGAACTGACAAAAATTCAATACGACCAAGCGCTCTAGCAAACCATCTACGGAGTTCAAACCAAGAAATGTCTTTTTCACAAATTCGAAGTTAGTTAATTTCTTTGGGTGATTATTCCTATAATCTGCCAGAGCTACAGGGCAACTTCAACTCAGAACAGAGCATTTTTAGTCCGTTGTCAAACATATCAGCTCCATGAGCACCATGGTCGCACTTCTGTACAGTCCCGACTGTACTTATCGAGACTAAGGTCTATGTTGCCTTATCTGGAATTAGGGCGTCTGGGCACAATAATGTTATGCCGGTTACCGTCATTCTCGTCCTGGTTTTTATCGTGAAATGCACTGACTAACACTGGCTGAGACCTTGCATACGACTTGGTTGTAAGGGATCTCGGCCAACTGTTTGTCCATTGTGCTTTCCAAAAGAACCTAGCATCCAGCCGTCACCTATATTTGATTACGCTACCTTGAATGCCTTCATGTTGTTCTGTATATTTCGCCTCACTGCTTTCTGTCTGAGAAGATTACTTGCGGCGTTAGAAGTAGACAGATTTGATAGTCCTCAAATATCGCTTTCTCAAAAGATTAGATTCATATAAGAGATGAGGTGGGGGACATTTAAACATCCATACAAAAATATCTGTTGCCATAAGGGATGCGAACGACTGACACCTAGTGTAAGGCATCATGAAACTGACTGACTTGTTTGAGTGGGGGTGACGTACTTCACCTAGGTGCAGACCCAGGATGGGATGGTGTGATCGAGTGTCGGTGAAAATTTCGGTGCCCCTCAATCGCTGGCTCCCCACTCCCGAAACTCTCGTCTACATAGGTCGTCTCACTCTCGCTCGGTGTCAGCATCCTTGCCTCCTGCCCCTGAAGTTTCCCACAGCGTTACATTCCCCACCGGTGATCTACCAGACGCGACAGAGCGCCCCTCGCTCTAAATGGAAATATTGCACATGTAACACGCCTTATTACGCATTTACGCGGTTATTGCCATAAGAACAGTCTTCATAAGTTTCCACCACTTTTTTCTTGTGACATCTGCATATGGGTTCGGTATGGTGCTTACCAACTCTGTTCAACAATCCCGCAGGCTGGAGACGACCGCAGGTGCTTACTTCTCCGCGTGTCTATGTCAACCTCAACATCGTCGGCCGCTACACTAGATGCCTTACCGGCCTAACCAATGACAGTTTATCCCGATCATGCAGAGAGTGGGAGTTAAAGTCATGATAATAAGCTCCATTTCTTCGTAAGACATGAGAAAGCAAGATTTTGAGTAATTTATTCTGCTGTAACAACGGAGTAGTTATCAGTTGAAAATAAATCGCCAGCCTACTCTGGATGCGTGACGGGTCCGGGACGGAAAATAAACCGACATGTCCATCCCAATCCATCATCTTTATTATTCATTTTATTCAAGTACTAAGAGAAGTGTTCACACATTTTTTGTCTGGTGATGATTTGACCCCCATCAAGTGTTGTAAGCAAGGCACAGAGGTACCTAATCACAAAATGGTAACTTAATAAGTTCAACATTTGGCTAGAGAATAGGTAAGAACGGAGTAGACTACCAGACCCAGCCGTGAGTAATCAATTTTCCTCATGATTGGAACAAGCTTAGCGACCCCATGCTAGGCGCTTACAATGGACGGCAGCGGGTGTGACCGTGGACACCTGCGGCGACTTTCCGGCGTATGACCTCGGTGTCAGGCATGATGACTCAGACGCCACAAAACAGACCTCAATGCGGCCAGGACGCCCGTCTTTGCCGACTCCGCCACAGGATGTAGCCTTTGCAACACACGACACGACCATGCGCTTAGAGCCGCTCGAGTGGATACCCTGCCGACACCCACTCGTCACCCTACCTTCACGGAGGTCCGGCAGGGCCTCCTGCCTCAGATACGATTTTCCACCGTGCCCTCAGGGTCTCTCCGCCCGTCCGATGAAGGTCACTTGAGGACGCGCGTCACGTATTTGCCAGGTCACTGTGATGGCCACGACCCAGGCTAGCGACTCTGCTCTTTCGGCAAATGTTTGCCAGACCTTTCCCGCTTACCGTAGTTCAGTCGCCCGGGCACCGGTGGCGGCAATGACATTACGGATGACCAGACTGAAAGATGAGTACAGAAAAACGTCGGCTCGTTTTTGGATAAACAATTTTACTAATAAATTTCTCTCACTTTCCGTTGCTCGTCACACTGAAATACGTGATTTCACATTAAAATAATGAAAAAGTTGTCCTTAATTTTTGATGGCGCTTTATGATCAGGAGACGGAAAATGATTGGGGCATACTGCGTTTTCTGTTATAAAATCTTCTACGTGCATTTTCTAAATCCGTTCGTTGAAATCATTGAAAAATATCACATTTTGCCCTTACGCTCACAGTCTTTCAAAGACTTCAATGAAACCCGAGTGGTGATGAGAGTCCATAGGCCCGTTAGAGTAATAACGTCAAATTTTCGCAGGAATGACGAAGTGGCAACGACAAGAAGGTCTGGTTAGTTGCAGTCACTTGCCGAAAAATCCAGATTTCGTGTTTTAACACTACTTTCGAGGGCAAGGTAGCATTCTAAATTTGTTCACTATTATGAGCCTGTCATAAACGTTGCAGCTGCCAAGATTTATTAAGAGGGATATGGCTCGTTCGGTTTTGCGTATACAGCCTCCATTCCCATTCGATCGACTTTGTGGAACACGCCAAGAACCAGTGAGATGGATAGTTTGTCAATTTAAGTCATCGATTACCTAGCTCACCGTCAGTTTGCGCAGTGACAGCCCAAGCAGTCACTACCGCCCCACTTTGCGTCTATTCTGACTGCAGTCCTCTGGTGCTGGTCGAATAAAATACGCTTATCGGGCTGAAATTTTCACATTTCTCTATGTCAGATTACACATGTCCCACAGAGGCTGCTTAGGGGATACCTCGTTAACAGTGTAACGAAGGCACGCCAGCACTAGAACTGATTCAAATGTTGCCGGTTCACAAAGACAAACAGGGCCAGAGAATTCAGTCTTAAATGGAACAATTTTGCCCGTCTGTTATCTCACACTTTTGCATAAGCGCACAACCATAAATAAAAGGCAGAGAAATCGAAGTTTTCAGAAAGTATTCTTCATTAGATTCTAACTAGTTTGTCTGATTAGCTCTTCTAGTTACCCAAGGCAGATTATAGGCCAACCGGGTGGTATATCGAGTTGGAGTCTGATTTCCAGGCTTTGGTGATCCTCTGAACGTTTTGCTACTAACTCCTCTTACCAACTTTTCTCTGTCAGGGACACAATGATAGCCGGTTTTAACGCTCTGCCTGGCTTATTCTGAGCATGAACAGTTCGGCCTCAGTAGTTTATTTTCGTGCATTCTTCTTGATAATCACTTGCCATTCATGTAGTAAATGTGTTGTCAAACAATACAACACACAACATAGTAGATTGTTATTGATTTGTCTGGGACGGGTGCTCATCCTTGAGCTTCAGTAAGAGGCGGATCGTTGTCTCTGACCAATACCCGGACATATCCCAATGTTTAGTCAAAAAGCTTGGTATTTTCTAAGATCCTCCTGATGTACGTGCAGAATTCTTTGTCGATCGGTTACGACTCGACTCCAACAATTCACGAAACAACCGAGAAAGTAGTCCTTTGTCAAAATCTATGGAAAATAATTCGTAACTCCTCGAAGAATTCTTAATGTTGAGTTAAGCTATTGATATTTGCTCTCGCCCGCGCATTTATAGCCACCTGACTGGTGCACTAGCGAGGGCGGTGGCTACCCTACGCGGTCAGTCAAGAGACGGGAGGGTCTGTGAATTAGCTACTGGGTACGACATTTAATCGGCTCTCCACTCGGTGAACTGATTGCCACATTATCTCTCGTCGGTCCCACCGAAAGTCAGAAAAGATTTTGATGGATGATGCTTCTGCATCAAGGAAAGGACGCGTTTTAACTAAAAAAACTCAGTGGGCATAATTTAGGAAAATAATGAAAACTAATAACCTCATTTTGAGGAAGGGAGGTTCAGACATGCTTAATGTTGGGAGTTATTCCTTAATCGGTTCTAGGGTTTCATGCATCCTCTCTGGGACCTCTGCTAACGTAACATTCATAATGGGTCAAAACTTCGACTAGCCCTTCACATCCCCAGGATCATCAGCGTCATGTCGATGATGTCACGCTCAAAGTTGGATTTAAGGTAGCGAAATGAGTGTTGTACCAGTGGCGACAGGCGGGATATCACTCAGTATCCTTAAGCGTAAAAGCAACCTCATGAATTCGATCTGAGGAACTACTCGAACAGTTTCTGAAATGCTTAAATAATTAATGTTTGGTTGGAAACTAAACACTGTAGTTGACGTTCATACAGTTTATTCATATAGGCTCCAGCAATCTGAAATAAATCAATTCTAACCTAATATTCCCAGAACTCTACCAAAATTAAAAGCAATCATACCGCTGTCAACTATCTATTAGGAGAGGGTATAACGCAGGGATAATTACCTCCCGCGTACTACAGGCAGCTTTGCGTTAAAGTCAAGGGGATTAGGGTTAAAGTCATGATTCGAATTAGAGTTGGATTTAGGGTTGACGCTGGGATGCGGGCATAGTTATCGCCTAAAATGTAGCACAAGGTCCCCTGTCTTAGGGAGGGCACATATTCCCGTGTCCTTATTCTCTCAGACGTTGAAAGCTATTTTATTCTTTGCATTGATCCACTTGCGCTGTGCGCTGTGGCTGATCGTTTTAGACACGACACGTTGATTTTGGGGTCAAGAGTGGGATTTACGAATAACTTCAAGAGCAAGTCCTTTCATGCCTTTGATAAAACAGATACACCAACTAGAGCTCTGATCATGGTGTGAACCTGAACAGGAAGAGCAGAAACCAAACTCTCAGAGGGTCAGCGACCTGACGCATCCTAGTCAGGTGTACTGAAGGTGGAGTTTTGATTCATTAAGTAGAGAAAGAAATAAGGCAATCGACGGGTTAGCAACACTAACTGGAAAAAATGAGTGCCTCGAAGATCACTTACTTTAACCAAGCAGTAGCGGCAAAAACACTCCGATAATAATTAAGGGCGTAGCTTTTTTGCGTCCACTGCATTACAGAGCCCACAACAGCAGCTGTGCTGTCATACGGCTTTTTTTACCCATGTTGGCTGACACCAGAGGGAGAAGAGGATGAGTGGTTAGAAGAAGTTGTCTGTAGGACGCCGGTATTCGTTCACAGCGAACGCCCTCTTTCTCAGGTGACTGGAAAGAAGGAACAGGGGACGGCCTAGGTAGAGCAGAAGTACCGACTTTCGAACCCTCCACATGTGTCCACCGCCCTAACCTCCTGCTGTACCTCCAATGCTGATTGCACAAAAATTGAGGAATTAACCTTTCTACACAGTGACTGGAAACCTTTTCAAGCAGTACGCTTCAAAGACAACGAGCAAAGTGTTTGGAAGAAGAGGAGACCAGTTTGCTATTATTGAAATGGCCCGAGGACATAAGGAAACGATTAAATCTGGCGACTCAGGCCGCCTGTCGGATCCGGAATCTGGGGTAAGATGGGCGGTGAGGATATCATGGTAGCTAGGCAAGCCATGTCACTTTCGAATGCCAAAAATGATGCCCAATGTATCTACAAGTAGACCACTGCCTGACGGTCGTAGGAAAGAAGTTGCAACTCGCCAAAACACAGGCAGCAGATTCAAACCCACAGGATATGCTTCTGACGCGAATGCATGAAACTCTAGTACAAGTAGAGTTTAATTAGAGAATAACGGGTTTAAGGGCCTAAAATGGGTTCGTAACACCACGCTGAGCTGCTTGGCTATGAAAGCTATGAAAATTTTGTCCACTGTCACCAAAAACACACAATAATCTCACGGCAAAATGTTATCTTAATGCACGCAAATGGTGTGTTTATGGTCCCATATGCAAACCTTGTTTGAATTTAATAGTTACTGACGGTTTGTTTACATGTAATTTAACTGACACCTCTATACCTATGACGCTGCTATCAGCAAATGTGAACGAAATCCTCTTTGCCTTAATCAGCCGCATTTCAAGCACTACAGGTCGAACGATTGCAATGATTTCGCGCAACAGGATTTAAAAACACATGATCATATACTGCGTGGTTAATTATTTGCAGAATTCACACGACAATAATGTTGGAGAGTATTCACTAAAAATGTTGTTTAAAAATTTTTTTAACACTTACTCTGATGACGTCGCTTTGTTTTCTCAGTGGTTTGCATCAACAGACATTGTGCTTAAAAAATTCGGTTTTACGCACTTGACGTTAATCTTCGCATATTTGGCATTTCCGATTTTTTAAAGAAAATTGTTATTTCACATCAACCACATAATATTTCAAACATTTATTTTGTTTTCGTTCAACTGGAGGCCATTCATTATTAGTGTGGCGACTTATTGAAGACATTTGGATTCATTTCCGATAGATTACGGATTCTTTGCTTATTAAGGCATGTTTCGTGAGTTACTTCGCCTACTTTAAGTTAGCTATCACCGAATATTTTAAAGGGGCCAAAAATCTGGGTTTTTGGAAACTCATAATCCATCTTAACTGATATTAATGTCCTTCGTGGAAAAAATATTGTAAGTCGCGTTAAAAACGTGCGATTAACCAGACCGACGATTATCGGTTTACGCATGTTGTCGAAAAGAGTAGAGCTGGATTGTCCCACTGAACGCCAAAAGACTGGTTCTAAGCACAATTTAGACAGTAAACTATCCAGTTCTTTGAAGAACTGTTCATTATGTGGTATGCATTCGTTCCAACGGATTTTCCACTGTTCAGTGAACTTTTTTAAATTCTTCTGAATCAATCCTATTAGGTCCCCTCAGAGACCTTTTTCTTGACCTCCTCTACGCTCCGGTAAGGCTTTTATTATCGGTTTTCTTCATTCTCGGGGATAATAAGACGCTGCAAGGGCCAGATCGAACGATTAACCGCGGTGGGAAACTATAGTCATGCCGGTTTTGCCAAAAACTAGTTAGCTTCGAACGCTGTTTGGGCAAGCGGGCTGTCATTATGAAGCAGCCGGTTCTCTCCATAGCCAGAACTAGGTCGTTTTTTTCCACAATGAATCACATAATCGCTTCAGTGCTCGAAGATTTAGTGTTGGTTCACTTGTTGCGATTAAGAACAAATTCAACATGAACGACCCCTTCGGAGGCGAACAAACAAGCCATCATGGACAGGAAACAGAAATTGATGTTGACGCGTTGTTTCCTAAGTTTGTCATTCAAAAATCGCCGATAACGTTGGAAGGTTGTTTAATAAAACAATCATTTTGTCCGCTGCTGTGATTTCTCATAAACGCCACTTGGCCAACTGAGTAGGCAGGATGTACCTAGCGCGCGAGGCTACTCCCTTATACTAGGTCATTCAATCGGAATATCTCAGTCCACGTTACTTCAATTTAACTGGATATTCCAAACCCCGTAATTATTGACCGATGATGACGAATGAACAGGAAATGACCACGTCAATGTCCCTGTCTTTGTTAACTAAATCATTCGATAATTATATATTCGTATATTTCGTGCCTACCTACTTTGTTTGACTGGAAGTAAAAACAAGGGGTGTGATGCTGTGAGAGTCTGTGAATAATGAAATATATTGACACCTGCGCGATCATTTAATGTCAAACTTTGAAGAACATTGTACTTGAGAGATTCATGACTGGTTTGCTTCTAAGATGTGGGATTTCCTTTAACATAAATGGTCGTCGTAATAGTGGAAATAAGGCAACAATTCTTATACCCGATATCTTAGTATTTGCAAGTTTCTTCATTCATCTCTCGGCCAACTTCCAATAACTGACTTCATAGCTCTTGATATCGACAGTGCCTCTAGTCCGTCTCAATAAGAGCATTATCGTAGGAAGCGGCGCTTACCGATTTCACCACGGTACCTGCTCCTTCCGATGTGTACTGGGGCTCCATCTAGAGCCCCGCAGGCATTTGCACAGCGGGTAGTATTATGTGCAAAAGGGCATTGTCGACAAAGACGAGGGAACGCCGAATGGCTCATTAGCCGTCCCCAATCAGTCACACGCAAGCCCAGGTTTTGGGAGCCTGATATCCGAACCCGGGCTTCATGGTCATTGAATGCGATGATCTACTATATGAAGTTTGAGCCATTATCCAAAAATCCACTTCTTGCCTCAAAACACAGACATGTGAGGCAATCGGATCATGCGACTCCTGAGGTCTGATTAATTATTTAATTAATTAGTTCTAATGACTGCATTTTAAATTTGTTAGAATGCCCTAAGTGGGCTTGGAAGTTTCATTTTCCCGGGTCACAAGATCGGTCATGTCATGTTTTTAAGAGTACCATGTAGACTGAGTCAGCTTTCCCGAAAAAAATCCCACAAGCTGTTTGATTAGCGTTAGTTAAATCTAACCGTCGTCCTCTTGAGGTGTTGAAGGCAAGAATAGGGTATGTAGTCCCCTAGGGTGGTTTGTCAAAAATTTACCTTCTTATATTTTCTAGGTTTATGTGGTGTGGCCCCTATGCACAACGGGAGGAGTGAGTGCCTTGGCCCGATCGCTGAGCGCCCCTTTACCATTGTATACAACCAGTCGCAAACGAAAATGCAACGAGTCCTTGTCTCAATGGTTATAACGTTGGACTTCTGACCAACAGGTTGCGAGATCGAGTCCCAGGGTTTGCGCACCTTGGGGTTAAGCGTGGCTGACTGACGATAGCTGGCAAGCCAGGAATGGCCAATTCAGTCTCCCCGGCCTTCGTCGGTAACGTTATTCTTTGGCTTACAGCAGTTTGCCTGACAAAAGGTAGACAAAGGAGTCATGCAATACGCTGATTTTGATTTTTAGTAGTGTTATTGTCGTCCTCGTTGCCCGGATCTGATCGAAAGTTGGGGTTAGGGATACCGTTGGAGTTAGAATTAGTATTAGGAGTTTGGGTTATTCCTAGGGCCTAGAATTTCAGGCTTGGTTTATTGTCTGGGTTTGCGATTGAGGCCGGAGTTGGGGCTTAGAATTGGGGTCGAGAGTTTGGGTTAACGATTTAAGCCTAGAGTTGGGGTTTCGGTCGCGTTCGATTTTTCCCTAAATGCTTACGGGTGAATGGTTAGGGTTACCCATTAAAGTCACAGTCGTGGTTGGGCCATAATTAACTAGGGTTTTCAAGGGGGTTACATATCATACCCTTGCCGTGTTGAATATGACGGAGTAAAATCACTTAGCTAAGAAAGCTAAGAAAAACAAAGACCATAATTCGGATGTCAGGCATGAGATAGCGGACAGCTGGACTCTTGCAGAACCTCATAGGTGCGTTTGCATGGTCTTTTGAACAGAGCTAAAGGACTATTATATAATAAGTCAAATATAAACCGCGAGCAATAGACTTAACTCCGAAAACTGAACAAGGTTTGCGGATATAATCAAGAGGACTGTCATGTTTAGGATGCAGCCAACTATGATGCATCAGATAGTCAAAGTGTTGGAGCAGTCGATTTAATCCGCACTAGATGATAATCATAGGGTTGGTAGACACAAGTTTCTTATTATGAAACGGGGAGAAAATTAGACGCCTGAGAGATTCAAAGTCTCTTACGATTCGTTAGTTATTGACACCAGTCTAGTACCTGTGCAGGTGGAGTCTAATTATTCATGAGCGTTTTGCTTCCGTCCTTATGGTGGACCGAAGACAGTTTTAAGATTTGGGCTATCATAAAAAACCTAGTCAGGAGTTCGGGGTTTATGGCGTACTTTTCGCAGAATGACCTTTGATTGCGAATGGGATTATGCTATTCTTAATTGCTATTTAAAGTAGAAGGAGGAGACAAAGTGTCTACTGTAATCGTCGTTTAAGTTAGCCGGACTTTCGGGTAAATGTAGGAAAAACCATAAATAACATGTAGGAGGACCAATCAAAAAAGAAAGGGGTGGTCTGACCGCATGTTGCTTCTGGCAGTTTCACAGGTCAGCCAGCATAAAGCTCAATCCCGGAAAAACGAGGATAAACTGGCAGCAGGTCTACACTCAACTGTTTAAACCCGCGGAAGCAGGCCGGAACTTTCGTTTCTCGAGCTCAGAAATGGGGTCCAAAAAGGCCAATGTAACAGGAAATGAATTACCTAATGTCTGGGCACTGAAACGCAACTTTCTAAACTTGCATGTCTGTGGTGCCCCCATCTTCAACGCTAAAGCTATCATTGTTGGACGATGCGGCTCCGTCCTCTGTCAGTTGCACGCATTAAAATACTGAAAGTGCCCTTCCTTCGTTGATGCCTTTTGGCTATTTCCACTGTTCCTTTCGCGCACTAGGTCAAAACCTCAGAAAGATAGAGAGAATTTCATCAGTCGATTTGCCTCCACCTTGTTTTTTCATAAATGATTTACGGACTTATGCTAATCTTTCGGAGTCAACATTCTCATTAGTTATTTAACGACAGAAAAACCTAAGATTTTCTTAAGCTACCCGTTGGAAAAGAACGTTATATTTAAATTTGGCAGTTTCAGAATATGTGGTTGACAGGACTGTCTGGTAGTTTCAAGTAAAGGACCGAGCGGAAATATTCTTACTCGATTCCAGTAAGAAGTACTAGAAAAAAAATTGTAGAAATATCGCACTACACTCTTCCTCGTATTTAAAGTTGTGTGCATTTCCTGGTCTTAAGCGTCATTCCTTTAATTGCAGTACTTACTAACAAATTCTCACTTGGGGAAAGGACAGCAAGACATTGTTTGCTCAAGTCGGCTTAATTTCAATACGTTCGTGCCGATTTAAGCGTTGCAATTGAAGAGCAGCCTTAAACTGCCATTATATCTTCCCTAAACGTTTGAAGTTGTTTACATTTTCGAAAACATCATACTGTGAGAACAGCTTAGTAGCTCCATAGAACCTCAGAATCCGAAGAGGCGAACGGATCCATACGCTGAGCAACGGTTTGTGTTAAACAAAAATGTCTAATAGGTAGAAATTTTTACCTCTTCTGAAAGAATATGTGGCGCCAATCAAACGAATTTTGGCGGAAGACGCCTACGCTTGATCCGAACGGGAGTATGGGTTTTAATCGCTCCAAATTGATATTTTAAAGTACAGTTGGGTAAATAATGTCTTATATCGTACAAGGGTTTTGTGGAAAATCATATGCACAAAGGCTCTTGATGGGGACTATGTTAACTTCGAATGACAGGCAATGGCAAATTTAGGAACCGAAAGGGATATATTCCAACAAATGCTAACATTGTAAAACATAGTATTAAAATTAAATTCTAAACTATATTGATGTGTTGGGAGATATTGCAATCCTATATCGGAAGCGGCGAACTTCAGCATTTGGAATGACAACAAAAACGTAGTTTTTATCTCCAGTTCATTATTTGTATTGCGTTTTCCAATCAAACCCGGTGGTTAAATATAATTTTATGTGTCTACGGAGATCTTTTGCTTTCGCGTTGGAGGGCGTCCAAAGAGACGTAGCTTTTTGGAGTTGAGATCCACCAATGACATATTCAGGAAAATTCGAAAGTGCAGAGATGAACCAAGATATTATTCCGCGATTTGAAAAACAAACACAGCAACTTTCACATCTACGTGCATCCGACTATGCAGTGGACATTGAGCTGTGAAACTCTACTCTCTGGTAAACTTATTTATACCTGTCATATAACGATATTTTCCGCGATCTGGCTGACAAATAGGATGCTGCTGTTGCTGATGATGATGATGATGATGATGATGATGATGATGATGATCACAACAATTACTGTGATTAAATGTCGACAAAGTAAGTTTGTATACGTTAACCGTAGGTTTGCGCCATAAGGCGTTTACGCAACTGGGCGGCCGCCAGATTGCTGAAGGCAAGAACTCCATTCGAAGGTCGAGAACCGCTGTGTTTATCTGGCATAAGCATGAGCAATCTGCGAAAAGAGCACTGGTAGAAGATATGATCTTCGTCGGAAGTAATGGCTAGCGTAGAGAGAACGTTCACAAGCGTGATTAAGATAGTTCGGAGATGAAGCAATTGGAGTAAATTCTTTAATACACGAACTCTGTTTTTCAATCCCGGTAGGTCAGACGCCCAGTTGAAAAAGCTATTTCCCTGAGACTCAGAGCGAATAAAATATCGAGCACGTTGACCAGCAGGGAGGGTGACTGTCACATTCCACAGCACTCTGCATGAACTCTGAAGATCACTGACTCGAGTTCGTCCATTTACCAACCTTGCACGATTAGTTTAGTTCGCCCCTTCACAAAATCGTATCAATTAGTTGACGTTAAAGACCTTGTCAACTCCCGATTCTCTAACAGTTAAAGAGCGTTTGGGGACATGTGAATAACAAGAACGTGATTTTATAAGTTTAGCGGGAGCTTCGAACGTATACACAACCAGTTAATGACTTAGCACATCCTTGTGGAAACTACTCTCATTCCCCAATCGAACAAACAATTTGGTGCTTGTAGGAACGGGTTCAATCTAGGGACGAACTTCAACTGCCTGAAATAGTTTTCTTCATCTTTCGCAACTTACTATCCGTCCTTCTCCAGTGTCCAGGTTAATTGTACTGAGAAAAAATGACCAAGGTCCCAATAATACGCTCTTGATGACGTTGGTGGGCAGCAGTAAGGTCTAGGTAGGATCTCAGGCTGAAAAGGGCAGTAATAATCAGACGCAATAACCGGTGAATTGTCCTATCTCACATCCTCTCCATCAAGCCCTCATTTCAATTCATATTTCCATCTTACTTTGTCTGTTCATCAGAGCAAATATAAGCAATATATTTATTGTATTTTGGGAGACCCTTGATTGAATATTCCAGCCGCAAAAAGAAGCATGTGAAAATGTCGATGAAAACTCCGATAACGTCCACCAGACACAACTTTTCAGGCGAAATGTCAAGTTTTCTGTCTTAAACAGCCGACTGAGCGCTAGTTTGTCTATTCAAGGACGACAAAATTGCACTCACAACAAGTATTCGCTGTTGTATGAGTGAAATCTGCTTGAGGTCATACATTGCCATCATTACTGGATATTTTGGCTTATCTTCGGGTGCGGGAAGCTGCATCTCCGCAGCAAATATCACATAAATGACACCTTGAAAAGTAGGAATACTCGTACACCAAGAGATCGGAATCCGGCTGGCCTTTTGGTAGCTATAATTACTAAAATGAGTCTTCTTGACAGGCGTAATTTTCCCGATCCTCTTCTGTGACAATTGATTCTACGCAATTAAGCTAAATTTGATCGAGGAAAGTTGTTGAACTTGAACTCTGCAAGCGGTTCAGGAATGCTAACGAGGCGATTTGATGCCACAGTTTACTCCAAATGCTTAGACAGGGCATTTTTGGTAGAAGTAAGCATTACATTCCTAGAGAACGAGGCGTAGCCTGTCCCTGGATGGACCACAAGACTGATTAGTTCCATGTCCGTTCACAGCTTCTTATGTTGCATGGAGTGCCTCTCAGTTCCCCTATATAATCGCGCAGGCAATTTCCGTGACATTTCGCTGAACATTTATCTTCCTTGCCGGGAAGGTTCAGCGCCGCAAATAATTACAAGTTTGGTCAATCATGCCATCATTTACTGAATTTCGAGCGCCACCCATCCAAAACAAAGGGTAGCATGGTTAATAGTGTAAATAAAGAGCTAACGAAATATCGCCTACGAAGGAATCAGTTATATTATCCTTGCTTTTGCAACATTTGGAATTTTACCCTTCCCTATCTGACATTATGTTACGATTACCCATTAAAAAACAAGCTGGTTTTCTACTGTCAAAAGTAAACAAAACAGTCGTTTATGAGTCTCACAGAATTTGTTCAAAATAGTCAATAACTATTGCTACTTCCCTTACCCTCTTATGAATGACAAAGTATTCCCTGATTTTAAGAAATTTTTATATGCAATTATTATATCGTTTGTGATTTATCTTTCCTTCGTGAGCCTGTGTTGTTCTTATCCAGTTGGCCTCGCCAGTGATGTTGTCTCCAGTTGGCTTCTTTTATGAGAATTATAACCTTTTCGTTCAAATTTACTAGTATCAAAATCTCCTCGTCTTACTTGACGCTGTCTGACTACCCTCCTCGCCTTCTTTTCTCAGGGACAGGAGTCCGAAAAATGAAAACAGAATTTTGTTCAACCTACCGCTTGGATTCCCCTATTTGGACAGTCCGTATTCATTTACTCCTTACTCATATTCCAGTCTCGTTCTCCGTGCTGTGGTGTCTGGAAATGTCTTTCACTGAATGGCCTGATTACTTTAAAATAAGGCCTTGCGCGCATGCTTCCTCTGATCCGAGAGTACCCCCGATTTGACCAAAAGGTGTAACCGAGGAGAGAAACTTCACTGACCAGCAGTATACTTTTGTTGCCGCTTCTCTCGCTTGATTGGAGGAAGGGGTTTTGATCTCTTAAGCGAGCACTGCCGAATCAGGAGTCATTTGTATTTTAGGGGATTTAAAGCAGTCCGCAGCTTTTAAAATAATTCGATAATCTTAATTAGAATAGAACTGCTAAAGAAAAGTAGTGGGAAGATTAAGACCGACCAGCCACTCACCCATCTAAGTAATCGAAGAGTCTTGGTCCCACTCAGTTTGCAGCGCATTCCAGAAGGCCAGGAGCAGGAAGTGCCCTCCTTGCACACAGCGTGCCGGATCCAGCGTGGCCAGTACCGGTTTCCCAAGTCTCGCCACACAAACTGGACTGGGCAGGTCGCCTTCTGAAGGAGCCAGCGCCTGATCAGATCAGCATCCTTAGGACTAAGGTTCACTTTTTGCTTTCCCACGCCTGCGATCTCCTCTACAATAGTAAAGTGTTGACGACTCAATTCTTCAGTTAGGGCCTTTTGTTGTTGACTCTCTTCTTGTTGAGTCGTCAGATTGCCCAGGGTCCCCGGGCGCTCAGTGGACATCCAAGCATGGTCGAAATTAGACCCGAGGATCACCCGCAATTTCTCTACCACAGCGGGTGTGAGATTTGGCTGGAGGTAGGGCAGAGTAGCAGAGTTAATGCGTTCTCCAAACATGTGCACGTTTACACGATTAAAGTCATCCGAATCGTCTGGGGGCCAGGAGTTGTCAGAGTTAAGGGTCAGCGCATTGGGCGCTAGGGAGGCCGAATTTGGATACATCCTAGAACCGTAAGGTTGTGAGGGCATGTCATTGCTAGGCACTGATCGCGGGCCCATGGCCGATTTGACACGGCCGTTGGTTGCGGAGGCGGCGACAGCTGCAGCCTGTCGGGTCAGCACATCACCAACGCTGACGCTGACTTTCCGTGAATAGTCTGCGTTGGATGCACTTCTACTGACTGGTCCGAACCCAACACTGGTCGTCACTATGTCCAAGTCAGGGGACGCCGAGGATCTGCTTAGGATTGCAGCGAATAAAAGGGGTAGTAGGCGGAATAAGAGGTCTTGGAAATGCATTTTTCGTATAGCAAACAACGTTGGTGTCACTGCATGAAGATGTGTCGGGGAAAATCCCTATTTTTGCGGATAGGATGTAAGCGATGAGATATCGTACTTTGCTAGATCTTTCAGCTTCAATTAACTTGAATTAACTCCAAACGCGCAAACTGCATCGTTAAGTAGACGGAAGATGCCAATCGGGTAACCAATCATCGACTGGAGACAACCCACGGCTAAGTTTCCCATTGGTCAAATCGCATCGTCCGCCATGGCCTACAAGCGCGTGCACGTGAGGCCGATGGTCACCTGAATGCCCCCAATGACGTATGCTTTTGGCAGCTGCAAGCTTGCCAGCATATGCCCACCCTGAACGTAGTCAAAACTACCAAAACATCTGCATGCCAGAAGGCTCGAAGCCAAACGGATGGTTGCGCACCGATCCTGTACAAAGTAGGTGACTGGATTGCCTGAGAACAAACGCCATTACTTAGGCCCAGTGTGTGATAGTGTCAAATCAAACTATTTAAAAGCAAGTAAGCGTGCTCTGCACGACCAAAGATCGAACACGAGCCAATATTTACTGAAGTAGAATTGTATGTTTTGTTTGATTCTCCTGAAACTTGTGGAATGCAGGAGTCCACTGCTGAATGAATTCACGCAGGTGCTAAGCTCTCGAAAGTTATGACCGTTCTCTCAAGAAGTGGTAGCAAAACCCTGCCTAGGGTTTCTCTAGGCAGTATTCAATTTGTATCGTCCACCTCCTGCCAGATTTAAGTCATGCGTCTCACATTGTCTTCAAGTCGTAGGCTCAGATCTACTAGTCCACGCGAAACCTTCTCTAACATTTAACCCTTGAGGTAAACCCACGATTGGATCGCACAGTTACAATTTCGAAAAGCGTGCGTGCACTTAAAAGCGACCGCCGTCCCCATCCGGCTGTTATTTGCAGGGCCCTTAGCATGCACTCACGAACGAATTTAGGGGCTTGTAAACAGCCGAGTTTTCACCAGCGGCCCATCTCCGTAGATTTGCAATCCACCTTGATTTCGAATTCAGCAGTTATCGTCACAGTCCGTCAACTGAGTTCATTAGACCTTATCGAGATTTGAATACAAAATACTAAGGGTAACGTTCAGTGAGGTAACTGAGAGGCCCAAACGCCTCGTGAGTTGGGCATCTGAAGTGTTGAAAATGAAGGAATGAATTATTCAAAATGGGAATCCAAGAGCGTGGTGTATCGAATAAGAGACCGTGGGATAGTTTTGCGGATGTTTTTGTTATTTTAAGCAGTTGGGACTGCCCTCAACAGCCTTAAAGGGTATAATGATATTGCAAGTTAACAGACTTAATTAAATGTAGCATGCTACAACTTAGAAGGACATAATAGGCGATTTAATGCAATCCCAAGTGTGGATTGAACCGGAAATGAAATGGATGACAGGACATTCCAAATTATCCGGTAATAAAGCCTGACAGGGTAAACGCCAGTCTTACGTGATTGGTCGAACTTCTACTTTTACCCCCTCTAGTTAAGCCATTAGCCCACTTGGCAGGAATGACTGGTAGCATAAATAATCACGGGCGTTTCGTGTTAAAAAGCTTTGCTGACGACTTGTGGAATACGTCGGGTTCAATCTTTGATTTTTTGGGCGCCCACGCCTCTTTGTGCCGAGAATGATTTTGGTCATACCAACCCCAATTCTACCAACGGTAACAGGATGTCGAGGGGGGGGGGGAAGATTCAAGGTAGAGAGGTTTGTTGGTTAAATATCATTAGAAAACCAGTCGAAAGCAAAAGGCGTGGTTTGATTTTAAAATGTAAAGAGTCTTCTTATAAGGCCTTAATGAGTTGAGAGGATGTAAATATAAAGCGCACGTGTGCGCCCAGACTTAGGTTAATGTGCGACTATAAGAGCGACAAAGACAATTTTGATGTGGCTGCAACCCCAATACACATCACTCCTGGACTTAGTAGACTCTCATTACATCAGTCCCATTTTTGTCGCAAATGGAGAGGCTAGTGCCTCAGCGGTTGCCACAGGCAGTTTCATTACCTCTCTTCCTAGGGTCCAGAACGAATGTAAAATTATTATATTCCCTGAACTCAACATTTTACGCCTCGTTGCTCCGAGTTCTACTGGACCTGCTAGAACGAAGATCTGGATAGAAAACAGTCCATGTCATAGGATTTTGTTCAATTTTTCCCTAAAGTGGCATCAGTAACGTCAAATTCTGAATGGAGCAAGTACATTCGAGAGCGAAATATCGACAGTTTCCCAGTGCACCATACTGATTTACAGGTGGAAAGCCGTCTATCATGGGCGGCGACAAAAACTACCAGCGGTCAAAAGTAAACATGCCATCTATGCCAGATAGATGGCACGAGTTATGTGTAAATTGAACACTTGGAATTGCAAATTTGCGTTAAGGCAGAAATAGAACGAAGGAGTATACCGATATTGTAAGCCAGATAATCAACAGCTTTATTTTTAAACATTTTCCCTTTTCCAAAATTTCAGGCGCTGCAAAAAACGAACGAGGATGTATGTCTTATAGAAGAAAAATGGGAAATTTTCCGTGAAATGTCTAGACATGTTTTAAATTAAAGGGGAACTCCCGAGTGTTCTAATAATAATGATGATAATAATAGGTATGTAAATCCATAGATGGGATAGGATCGTCTAAGTAACCCGTGCAGCGATTTACTCAATCTTCGCAAAACCGCAATACCGATAACCTTTTCGAATGTCTCCATATCGTACTGAACTCCTTACAAGAGAACGGACAAAAATCCTAGTAGGAAATTTGCCATTGTGAAGTATGCAATATTTCGGCTTAAAACGGGTTCAGGTTTTAGGTCTTTTACAGATTTTTTCGATTTTTCACACACGGTTGAGCAGCAATGTTTCTCGACATCAATTAGTGCTCTTTGTACCTTTTTTAGTGAATCGAAAACATTTATGGAAATAATCTTACTAAGGACTGAAATTAGCGCTTCCACCGACTCAAAATCCTCTAAAGTGCAAATGATATGTTGGTGGATAAAAGTTTTGCTGTTTGTTTGAAATAAAACATTCTAGCCTTAAAAAGGCCTGAGCTGCAAAATTTCTGCCAAAATAAGCGGTTTAAAAATTTATATGAAAAGCAGATGCCCCTGTACAAACGTTAAGTAGCATTGATTTTTGCGATTACTTGCCTAGGTCGGGGGAGTGAAAACTCAGCTTAAGGCGGTAATATTCGCAGGTATGGTTAAAGTGAGGTTGTTTGCTGTCACCATTACAGGAGTTTTGGACTACGGTTGCCCACTCAACTGTCCGTTTCAGCTTTCTGGGTAGGATATGAATGGGTTGACCTATATCGTATAGAGGGGGGGGGCGTTGGAAATCGGAGACCTAAAGTATGCATGCAAAAATAAATATTTCTCCGGGTTATTCAAAGAAAACGTAACTAAAAAGTCCGTTCTTGTTAACAGTTTTCCGAACTTTCGACTTGTGCTATAATTACTGGACTTAGCTACGGATCTTGCGATAATACGCGAAAACTCATTACACCAACACAGACGTTAAACTTTGCCTCATTAACTGCAGTCGTACATGACCCACCTAGAGGAAACGAGGTACAATAAATTAGAGATTTTTCCCATTTGCCCTCCCACCCTAACGCTGCTGATTCCACTAACCCTCAAGTTGCCTTTATTTTGCCTAGGCCCTTTAGTCTTCCACGAAAGAATGATTATTTTCCTGGGAGTTCTAATAAAAAGTCATCGTAAATTATCAATAGGCGACACGACTTTCGTTCACAACTAGTTGACAGAGTTCGAGGGAAAAAATTAAAAAAGAATATGCCATGTGTGCTCCAAGGCATAATCGTGGAAGCGAAGATGTCAGTAAGCGCAATATATGCTGCTTATGGGAGTTTAAACATAATATTTGCGACATATCCTCGTGTTCATTGAGACTATCATGTCTTGAATAAAATAGGAACCATGTGGCGGGCAAAAACTACATAAATTTTGGCAAACTCTTCAGGGCAAACAATAAAGTGGGGTTTTTGGCCCTAATTCGCTGGGCGAATAATAATTCGATCATTGGCTCGCTGCGACCTGTACCAGTCCAAAAGACTCAGCTCACCGTTCGCTTTCTTGTGCCAATGAGTGAACAAACGAGAACAACTGAGATAACTGATATTGGGTTGCAAGATAACGTGCTAGCAGTACGGGTCTTAGCTAAAAGCCCAAACACGTGTTTCCCCGATATTCTTCCCCTGTATGGCACAATTGCGAGGAGTTCGGCGGGATAACCGCATAATATTCACTAACCGCCGACAGGCAGCTATTTGTATATATTATTAGCAAGTTAACAGTTAATTTCTGGAGAAAGTAATGATATAGCATCATTAGTTTCTGGTAAGAACTTCCTCAGTCTCAATATGCCGTTACTTAGGATGTATTTAATCATTAGGGGTTGAAAATACGTGGTTACAATTAGTGTATGAGCCAAATGTTTTGTTGCATTTTCCGAAAAAAACAACCTATGATGCAACCTTTAGGGCGATTAATTCTGCTTTTCAGACGGCATACACATAAACAAGGCGCAAATAGCCATACGGAAGTGACGCCAAGACGAAAAACACGTGTTCAGTTTTGTCTCCGATACCCAGGTCCGACAACTCCCTGGGGATGACATTGTGACGATACGGTTTTAACCTGGAAGATTTGTGGACAAATACGAAGAAGTTTTACAGTTTTTTGTTCAAATTGCCGTCGTTGGACCCCTATAAGAAATATTTAAGCAAAGAAGGTCTGATGGTAACTAGAAAGCTCATCTGGCGTAGAACCAGACAAATCGAAAGATATATCTTCTTTTTGCTCCTTATGACGTAATTTCTTCATGACTGAACACTGTTAAATAAAACCCTCAACTTACTGCCTCCTTAAACGTTTAATGAGCAGTTCCGCCCTGGATCGGCGAATGAAGTAGTGATTAATTGCAAAAAATTGATTCGGCCTCCGATTTCGG